AAAAATGTGGCTAAAATCATCAAAATACCGAATATCGGGGGGTACAGTTATATGGGGGATATACGATATCGTGAAGAAATATAGACAATTCTTTTTGAGGGGGTAAAATGTCCACAAGGGACTCCTTTTGTGGAATTTCAGACAATTCCATTGAAAAATGTGGCTAAAATCATCAACATATCGAATACCGTGGGTGTACCGTTATATGGGGGCTATACGATATCGTGGACCGATAGCCCATCTTCGAACTTGAACTGCCTGCAGACAAAAGAGAGATCTGTGTAAAATTTTAGCTTTCTATCTTAATTCATTTAGACTGTAGCGTGATTACAACAGACGGACGGACAGGGCTAAATCGTCTTAGAATTTTACGCTGATCAAGAATATATATACTTTGTTGGGTCTAAAATGATTATTTCGATGAGTTACAAAGGGAATGACGAACTTAATATACCCTCCATACTTTTTTGGTGGAGGGTATAAAAACAATCGGTGAATAATGTAGCTGAAATTATGAAATAAGGAGGTATCATTATATTGGGGTTATACCAAAACGTGGACCTGCACAGACAATTTTCTGCCTTAGGCTGTAGTATCCATTACGAACATCAAATACCAAATTTGAAACAATTCCGATGAATAATGTTGTTAGGTCTACGCGCCTGTTCTTTTTTATATTAATACTAGCTGAACCCGGTGCGCTTCGCTACCCCTTTTGATTTTATTTGCATTCAAAATTTAATTTATGTTATGGTTGAAAAAAAAACAAATTTAATAATTTAAAAAAAAAAAAATATTGCACTACTTTAATGCGTAAATAAACAAAACTATTAGAAAAGCAGTAATCAGTTATTTATTTCATAGCAAATATCCAGCGTGCAGTAAACTGCAATCTTTTGAAGTTGAGTGACATTTCTATTGCAATTAGTGAATTCGAGATAGTAACATACTTCGCCGTAATAAGCGTATTTCAAATTAATTGTTGTGTTGTTTTTTAGTGTTAGCCTAAAGCGTTGTGGGTCAATGGTTCTTATTAAAATCATATCCCAATCTGATTCGATTTAAATATAATTTAAAAAAAATACTTTTTCATCTAATTCCGCCACACCTTTCATATTTTATTGAAATTGGTGCGTCAAATATATGAAATCGGCCGAGAATATATATATGGGAGCTATATTCAAATCTTAACTAATTTCCAGTTAATTTGTCACAATTATTATTCTAACCAAATTCCGCCACACATTCTGAATTTCATTGGTATCGGTCATACACATCATGTTTTGTGGATAACATGTAAGAAATCGACCGAAATATATATTTTAGCTATACCCAAACCTCAACTGATTTCAATATAATTTGGCAATTTTTCTGGTGCCAGATTTCGTCTCTCTCGCTTTGGGTGCATCAAATATGTGAAATCGGCTGAGTATATATATGGGAGCTATAATCAAATCAGAGCGTATTTCAAAATAATTTGTCAAATTTATTTTTGTACCAAATTTAGCCACTCATGCCGAATTTCATTGGAATCGGAAATACGTATCGTGTTTTGTGCATCAAATATGTGAAATCGGCGGAAAATATATATGGGAGCTCTATCCAAATCTGAACCGATTTTAATATAATTTGACTAATTTATTTTCTAATAAAAATCCCGTTACATATTCCAAATTTCTTTGGAATCGAACATACATATCGTGTATGGTGCCTAAAATACATGAAATCGGTCGAAAATATATATGAGAGCTATATCCAAATCTGAACCTATTTTAATATAATTTAACAAATGTATATTTGTTTTAATTTCCGCTACACATTCCAAATTTCATTGAAATTAGAAATACATAGCGTGTTTGTTGCATCAAATACATGAAATCGGTCGAAAATATATATGGGAGCTATATCCAAATCTGAACCGATTTCAATTTAATTTGACAAATTCATTTTGGTTCCCAATTCCGTTACTTATTTTAAATTTCATTACAATTGGAAATACATGTCGTGTTTGGTCCACCAAATACATGAAATCGGCAGAAAATGTATATGGGAGCTATATCCAAATCTGAACCGATTTCAATATAATTTGGGAAATCAATTTTTTAGATAAAATCTATCACGCGTTTCAAATTTCGTTGAAATTGGGGATACATAGCGTGTTTGAGGCATCAAATGAACGAAATCGGTCGAAAATATATATGGGAGCTATATCTAAATCTGAACCGATTACAATATAATTTGGCAAACTTATTTTTGTTCCAAATTCCGTTACGTATTCCAAATTTGGAGACTGTATCTTCAACCAATCAATAGATATGTGCATATAAAATCTAAATTTTTGGGAGGTACCTCCGATTCTGATGCGATATCTCCATTTCCAAGTGGAAATTCAAAAATGTATATAGCCTATGTTACTTTCAGGCGATGTTGCAGTATATATGGAAATTTTCAGGAAAATCTATTCAGCGGTTTTCGAGTCCATAAATTACAAACAAACAAACAAACAAACAAACAAACAAACAAACATACAAACATTTTCCTCTTTTATAGATATAGATTTGCATGTTTCTCTTAATTTTATTATTGCGTTCAGTTGCATGTATCGTTTTTCATTATTGTTATTTCTTTCAAATCATCATCATTTATTTTGTCATTATCACCAATTTATAAATTTGCATGTTTGTCAGTTTGTTCGTTGCCTCGCTAAAAAATACCTTCAATTCTTTTGCTGTTCCCCATATCATAACTTTCTCTGCTTGCGTCGATCGTAAGCATAGGTAAGCCATCTAAGGAGAATATTTGCACATTTTTTGATTTGCTTTTTATTCTAATGAGAGTTAGAAATAGAAGAAGCATACATATTTCACTCAAACTTGCAAATTGACTCAACTGAGGCATTGATCTCCATCTATGTTACTGTTGTTTTTATTGTATTTTTATTGAGTTACTTTGTAATATATTTTTTGTAACAATAAAACACTTATAAAATAGAGTTGAATCTGTGCGCATTTGTGTTTCATTTAACGGACCATTTTATTGGTTTCGTTTTTGTTTTGCCTTTTTTTACACTGAGAAGAACCCTCAGCATAAGTTGGTTTTTCTACCTTTTAAACAGTTTTATGCTGATCCAGGAAAACGCTTCTGGATTTAACATTGGCGACCGTGACAGGACAGTGTAAAATAACTCGTTGAATAAAGCCGCACTTACATCGATTTCAAAAATCGTCCTTGCTTATCGTCATATTGTCATTTTTCGTTTTAACCATGACTTTGGAAGAGCTAAAACAACAGCGTACTATAATCAAGAAAAATATCACTCGCATAAAAAACCTGATTGATGCTAGTGCCAAAGGGGAAAAGTCCCTTTCATCTGGAGATTTGAAATGTCGTCTTGGAATTCTGGACTCATACTTCAAGCAAGTTTTGTCGATTCAAAGCAAAATAGAAACCTTGGATCTTGAAGACAATGGCCGTGCAGATATTGAAGACACATATTGCTACATCAATTCTCAGATCCAAAAACAATTATCTGAAGATGGACACAATGCAACATTTTCTGACTCATCGTTTGCTATATCAGCTCCGACAAATAAATTACCTCGGCTTAAGTTACCCAGTTTTAATGGTAAATATAGCGATTACAAAAATTTTATCACATCATTCAGACAAATTATCGACCGTGAGCATGGACTTTCGAACATTGAGAAGTTCAATCATTTGTTGAATTGTCTTCAAGGACATGCATTAGAGACTGTGAAAGCATTCCAAGTAACCAACGAGAATTATCCCAAGGCGTTAGACAGACTTAAGGCTCGTTATGACAACAGCACTTTAATATTTATGGAAAACATTACTTCCCTTTTCGATTTACCAGATGTATCAAAATCAAATTCTGGTCAATTAAGAAGTCTTGTGGATAATGTATCTGCTCTGTACAGTTCTCTACAGTCTATTGGGTCACAAATGATATCGTCAATGCAATGTTAATCCATATTGTAATGCAGAAGGTAGATGTAGATACCCAAAGAAAGTGGAAAGACTCGTTGGACTTCAACCGACTTCCTACGTGGGAAGATTGTTCAACAATTCTCGAAAGAAGATGCCAGTATTTAGAGTCTTTGGATACAAATGTTTCTCGTCACCAGGATCACACTTTTAGCAAATCAACTCAAAGATCATCTAAACATGGGCATTCTTTCTCTTGTACCAACCGAGTTTGTTCGTATTGCTCTAAAACTGACCATGCCATAACACAATGCTTGCAATTCAAGGATTTAGATGTTGGGCTTCGTTTTGAAAATGTAAAGAAACTTGGTCTTTGCATTAACTGTCTAGCTAAGGGGCACCAGGTTACAAATTGCCCATCAACTTTCAAATGCAAAACTTGTGCTCGCTCTCACCATACGATGCTTCATCGTTCCCAACCACCTCCAAGATCGCGTCCTACTACACTACCTACTTCTGCTGATGCATCTGCATCAGTACATACACATATGGATAGCTCATCGCATCATGTACTACTAGCTACATCTATGGTTCTTGTTCGTGATAATTTCGGATCCTACAAATTGGGAAGGGCTTTGTTAGACTCATGCTCAGAAATAAATTTTATTACTGATGAGTTTGCACAACGACTCAATCTACAAAGACATAAAAAATATGTTGAAATTTCTGGAATTGGCAATTCTAATACAAAAATAAAACATAATTGTTCAACCAATATCAAGTCTAGGGTAACCGATTTTGAAGTCAAACTTTCATTTTGCATCACGCCACATATTTCATATCAACCCGATTCGGAACTAGATATTTCATCTTGGAATCTCCCATCAAATACGCAGCTTGCAGACGAAAACTTCTTCAAATCAAACAAAATAGACTTACTGGTTGGTACAGAAACCTTTTTCGAAATATTATCTGTTGGTCAAATAAAACTTGGGCCAGATCTTCCCAAGCTGCAAAAGACTTTACTAGGCTGGATAGTTACTGGAAGATACAATATGTCTAGGCCTAACAACGTTGGCGCTTCGTACATTCTCTCGACCGAAGAAGAAATTAACTTAAATTTGGAACGTCTATGGAAATTAGAAGAACTCGACAAGAACAACAAAGAAATAACGCCAGAGCAAATGGAATGTGAGCAAAATTTCAAAAAGAATGTATCTCGTGAATCTTCGGGTAGAATTGTAGTTAAATTACCCTTCAAGGAATCTCCTTCATCCCTGGGTCAATCACGAAACACGGCTCTCCGACGTTTCTCTGCTCAAGAGCGACGATTGCAAAATAATCTTGATTTAAAATCTGAGTATAATAATTTCATGAGAGATTACGAGAACCTTGGGCACATGAGTCTAGTTAAAAATCTCAAGTTGGACGAACCTCATTATTTTATTCCCCACCACTGTGTACTTAAACCAAATAGCACTTCCACAAAACTTCGTGTTGTATTTGACGCTTCGTGTGCTACGTCGTCTGATACTTCACTCAACGATATTTTAATGGTTGGTCCACAATACAAGATGAGCTTTATCTACTGCTACTGCGCTTTCGGCTACATCGCTTTGTTGTAACAGCAGATATCGTAAAGATGTATAGGCAGGTGTTGATCAATTCAGAAGATCGTAAGTTTCAATATATTTTGTGGCGATATTCGAACAACGAAGAAATCAAAACTTATTGTTTGAACACTGTCACCTATGGAACCTCGGCAGCACCTTTTTTGGCAGTCCGCGCTTTGCATTATCTTGCTGATGAATATTCTGAACGTTTTGAAATTGGTGCCAGTGCTGTTAAAAATTCGTTTTATGTTGACGACTTTCTAGGTGGCGCTGAAACAATTGAGGAATTAGCCGAGCTTAAATATCAAGTTACAGAGCTGCTTAAAATGGGTTGTTTCGAACTTGACAAATGGCATTCGAATCACGAAAACTTTCGTCACGATAAATCCGTAAAAGATTTAAACTTAGATGGCTCCACTGTTACAAATGCCTTGGGAATTTCTTGGAATCAACAACACGATCAATTTTTGTTTTCCTTTTCCCCAAAACTTAGGACTGATATCGTCTCCAAACGCTCTATATTGTCTTTGTCATCAGCTCTTTTTGATCCACTTGGACTTGTGTCGCCCTTGATCATAAAGGCTAAAATAATTCTTCAAGAACTTTGGATACTAAAGGTAGGGTGGGATGAATCTGTTCCACAAGATATTCATACTGCCTGGCAAGGATTTCTCGATGACCTTCAGCAATTACCGATGCTTAACATACCTCGTTACTGTTTGTCGCCTGATCCAGAATCAATTCAATTACATGGCTTCTGCGATTCTTCCATAAGAGCATATGGTTGTTGTATTTATATCAGAGTAAAATCCAGATCCGGTGCCGTCTCTGTACAGCTATTTACCGCAAAATCGAAGGTCGCACCAACAAAACGAAAATCTTTACCATCTTTAGAACTGTGTGGCGCTCATTTACTATCCAGGTTGTATACCAAAATTCAAAATCTTCAACATATCCCAAATAGCTCAGTATTCCTGTGGACGGACTCCCAAATAGTTTTGCATTGGCTTAAGCTACATTCTTCCACACTATCGGTTTTCGTTGGCAACAGGATATCAGAGATTCAAGATTCTACAAATGGATGCAATTGGAGACACGTACCATCGCACTTAAATCCCGCCGATATTGTATCTAGAGGATCAAGAGCGTCTGAATTAATGTCGTCAATTTGGTTTACCGGTCCATCCTTTCTCGTCCAAGATGACAATGAGTGGCCAGTAAACAAATGTTCTGAAATTGATCTGGAAGAAGTCAACAGAGAAAAGCGAAAAACTACACTTCATCTGGAGGTACAACCGAACAGAATTCGTAAATTTATTGATGACTGCAGTTCATACACAAAGGTTATTAGAGTTATTGCATGGATTCTGCGTTTTCGGAATTGTTTAAAATCAACACTATCTTCTTCCGGTTGCCTTCAGCCACAAGAATTAGAATATGCGTTACTAGCAGTTGTTTGGCACGTACAACAAGAGTACTTCAAGGACGATATACGTCGCGCAACCAAGAAAAGAGATCCAGAGGGTACTCTTAAAGGTCTTAATCCATTTATAGATTGCTCGAGTGGGATTGAAATCTTAAAGGTTGGTGGTCGTCTAGAACTTGCTCAAATTTCGGAAGGTCAAAAACACCCAATGATAATGCCGAAGGAAAGTAACTTTGTGAAATGTTATATTCAACATCTGCATATCAAAAATTATCATGCAGGCCCAAAGGCATTAGTCTCGCTTGCCAGGATGCGGTTTTGGATTATTAACCTTCGTAGTCTTTGTCGCACTATTGTAAATCGCTGCCCACACTGCATACGTTATCGCCCGAAATTACTTCAACAAATAATGTCAAACTTACCAGCTGAAAGACTTAACCCTGCTCGAGTCTTTGCCAGATGTGCTGTAGATTTCTGCGGTCCCATAAACACGTATTTGAGAATAAAAGGAAGGGTACCATACAAGACGTATATTGCTGTGTTTGTTTGCCTAGCAACAAAAGCTGTCCATATCGAAGTTGTGTCGGACTTATCAACAGACGCCTTCATTGCTGCTCTGAAAAGGATGATAGGCAGAAGAGGCTTGCCAACTGACATTTTCTGCGACAATGGAACAAATTTTGTGGGCGCGAACTCAAAACTTAAGGATCTTAAAATGTTTTTATTTAACGAGAAAAACCAACATCAAATTATTAACTATTGTTCCAATGAATTTATTAATTTCAATTTTATTCCTCCTAGAGCACCCCACTTTGGTGGCCTTTGGGAGGCCGCAGTAAAGTCGGCAAAAGGTCACCTTACTCGAACACTTGCCAACACCCGCCTTACATACGAGGAACTTGTTACTGCCTTAGTTGAAATAGAGGCCATTATGAACTCGAGACCCATATCTCCTCTGTCTTCTGATCCAAGTGATTACGAAGCTCTAACGCCTGGCCATTTCATCACTGGCGGTGCTTTGCGATCACTTCCAGAACAAGACCAGTCCATCAAAAATGTCAACCTACTTGATCACTGGGCACAAATTACAAATATAAAGCAGCGCTTCTGGAAGAAATGGTCACATGAATATATCAACGAACTGCAAGTAAGGAATAAATGGACGAATTCGAATCCCAACGTCGCAGTCAATGCTTTGGTGCTTGTACATGAAGACAACATTCCTCCTCAAAAGTGGCTTATGGGTAGGATTGTGCAAACAATAAATGGGAGAGATGGACGAATACGAGTTGCTGACATAAAGACTACAAAAGGAGTTATACGTCGACCTATTCACAAGCTTGCTTTACTCTTAAATTGAAAGTGCCCTTTCAATGGGGTCGGTATGTTAGGTCTACGCGCCTGTTCTTTTTTATATTAATATTTGCATGTTTCTCTTAATTTTATTATTGCGTTCAGTTGCATGTATCGTTTTTCATTATTGTTATTTCTTTCAAATCATCATCATTTATTTTGTCATTATCACCAATTTATAAATTTGCATGTTTGTCAGTTTGTTCGTTGCCTCGCTAAAAAATACCTTCAATTCTTTTGCTGTTCCCCATATCATAACTTTCTCTGCTTGCGTCGATCGTAAGCATAGGTAAGCCATCTAAGGAGAATATTTGCACATTTTTTGATTTGCTTTTTATTCTAATGAGAGTTAGAAATAGAAGAAGCATACATATTTCACTCAAACTTGCAAATTGACTCAACTGAGGCATTGATCTCCATCTATGTTACTGTTGTTTTTATTGTATTTTTATTGAGTTACTTTGTAATATATTTTTTGTAACAATAAAACACTTATAAAATAGAGTTGAATCTGTGCGCATTTGTGTTTCATTTAACGGACCATTTTATTGGTTTCGTTTTTGTTTTGCCTTTTTTTACACTGAGAAGAACCCTCAGCATAAGTTGGTTTTTCTACCTTTTAAACAGTTTTATGCTGATCCAGGAAAACGCTTCTGGATTTAACAAATGTCGCTAAATCATTAAAATACCGAATATTGGGAGGTGCCGTTAAATGGTGGCGTTCGATTTTAAACGTCCTGCAGATGTGATGGTTACTTTTCTGAAGCATCTTGTACATTTTTGTACATAGGAAGTTTCGTTTTCCTCCTCTTATAGCTAAGACCTTGCCTTTTTCAACACTATGTATTGAGGGTATTATAAGTTGGATTGGGCCAAAAATTATGTAACACCTCGAAATATTGGTGCTCGATATAAGTAACTATATATGGATCTTCTTATCTCGCAAAGCTAAAGCAATTTACGACGTCTGTCCGTATGTCCATGTTCAATTATAATCACGCTACAGGCCGCAATTATCAAGAAATTGAGAATGGAAGTGGGGTTAGGGTCAGAATAGAACTCAATTGTTTTTGAAGTTTATCGCAAAATATTTGCAATGGACCAAACACAGAAAAAAAAAATGCTGATTTCAAGTCAAGAACTAATGGACTTATTTTGATCATTTAAACCAATTCGGAATGGTCTCTTGACAGAAAAGGATAAAATCGAAGAAAAGTTGAGGGTATAATATTCAGGTTGCAATTATCGTCCGATCTTTATGAAATTTTGCATGCAGTTAGGATCAGAATAGAAGCTCATTATTTTGAAGGAATATATAAAGGGGTTCAAATGGGCAACAAAATTAAAATTTGTTTGATTTTGCAGTCGTTCAAAAGGGGTTGAAATGTACAGAAAAAAATAAAATTTACCTGATTTTGCAGTCGCTCTACGGGTCACAATTAAAAACCAATCGACACAGAATTTTGCACGAGGATGGAGTTAAGGACAGGGCAGTAGTCTAGAATTATGGATGACTATTGGATTATATTTAGAGGGTAAAATAGACCACAACTTTTATTTGAACATTTTTTGGGCTAGTGCCTTGGCCAAAAAGCAAAGGCAACATTTGCGCAGGACTGTATGGATTATTTTAAAAAAAATTGAGTAAAATGTGTTTGAGCTTATGTGGGTTTACCAATATATTTTAGTGTTTTAGGGTATCACATATTCGGTCTCGCACGACTATAGCCTTTGCTATTGCTCTCCTAAAGAAGTCCGCCTCAATATTATTGGCTTAAAATGTCATTGTTTGTTATTTGATTGTGTTTTTTTTTTAATTATTTGTTTACTTATTGTTACTAATAATAAAAACAGGTCACTCGTCGAACATCTGTTATAGCTGAATGTCATTATGACAACTAAAAATTATGTTATAGTAAATAACTTTGGCCTAAAATCCATTTTATATGGCAGCATAAACTAAAGCGTTGAAACATTGAAAGTGAAAATATCTGCATTAATTAAACGTAGAAAAAGTTAGTCTTTGCTTTGTTGCATGGATATACTACATGTGAGTGAGTAAGCGTTTGTCCCTGTGTGTGTATGCGTGCTGTTTGGGCATTAAATAAAGCGTGCATTAAATAGCATTAGCGTTTTGTAACACCACCCTAAACGAACACACATACATACACTTACAAAGATAGAGAGAGTCATATTCACTCTCTGTCACTTCTAAATCGTGAATAGTATGCAT